CTCTCTCTCTCTCTCTTCTCTCTCTCTCTCTCTCTCTCTCTCTCTCTCTCTCTCTCTCTCTCTCTCTCTCTCTCTCTCTCTCTCTCTCTCTCTCTCTCTCTCTCTCTCTCTCTCTCTCTCTCTCTCTTCCCATCGTACATTGCCCTCCTCTTCCGCAATCTCTGTAATTCTACCTTCGTATTAATTGTCTGCCATATCTCCGACAGATTCGCCTTACGACGTGTCGGGTCTGCCATATCAGGAGAATTATGACGAGGACACGAAACCGCCGCAACAGGTCAGTCTCTCGTACGATGAGAGCCTCGAATCCGGCTACTCCACGCCGAACAGGCGTAGAATCATCCGGGAGATAATCGTTTGAGACCTGCCTACCGGCTCACGAGCCGGAAACACACGTACCACCTGGCTATAGCAGCAGGCCCCATGCCATACGGTGGCGCAGCAACGTCCGCATCACCTCTACCACCGTCATCGCCATCGTCACCGTATGGAGATCGTCCTTGAGAATCCTTCCGTGCCGCCGTCGATCGTGACGGCCGCGACGGCGACCGCGCAACTGGGTCTTCCGACGCGTCCGCCGCACTTTCCGCATCGCGCAGCGTATGACATAGGTTTAGGACGTAGCCCGTCGTTGTTGCCCGCGGAGGATTATTACGCGAGGAATCGTCACGCGTTGACACCATACGGCGATCTGGATGGCGCTCCGGCTCCGGTGACGGTCCGACGAATCGACAAATCCGGGTTGCTGGAAATCGCGGAGACAGATCCTGTCACGTGTCCGCGTCCTTGCGTGCTCACCGGTGCGGAGGACGTGGCTGCGCGCGGTGTATCATTACGGGTCGATCGCTCAGGACTCCTGGAGGCTGTTCCCGAAGCCGTCGATCAGCCGGAAGAACACAACGACGGTGCGACAAAGATGCTCGACGAAGCCGCGGGATTATCGTTAAAGGTGGACACTGAGGTGAATCCTCGTGTGTTCGAAGGTGGTTGTCTATTGGAACGGCCTTCGTCCTTGGAAGGGCAAGCCTGCCCAGACGAGATCGACACGAAGGCCTGTTCTACGGATATCAAGGTGCTAAGCGGAAGCCCGCGAGCTCAACTCGACGTTTCCAAAGCCACGGAGAGGCTACCGCACTTATCCTTTTCACCCGGCCTTTCTCTGCGTCGTCTTCGGAACGATCCTTCAAGAGAATCTCCATTAACGAGCCGTTGTGCGGACGCGGACTCGACCCGCGGATCGCGGAATCAAAAATCTCCAGAGTTCGCCGCGAAATGTATTGTCGTTGGTTCCGCTTCCAAAAAATCCGCCGACGCGTCGCAGAGTCCAATCACGCGTGAACGATCGCAGATAGGATGCACAAAGGACAATATTGATTCCGCATCAATCGATTTGGACGTTCCAGCAGTCGACGTGATCAAAACTCCTCGCGAATCGCTGCTGCTCGCAAGAGGAAGCGCTGAACAAGAGAATGTTCCGCCGGGAGAGGAGAGGGCCGAGGCAGAAGGATGCGAACATACGACCATCGAGAGTCTCGAAGAGGACGGGGTATCGTTCAAAGGGTCCAACAAACTTCTCGACAACGACAATGTCCAGACGCTCAGAGTGATCATTCTATCGGAACAATTGTGAAAGTGATTGTATTCGAGTGAAATGATTACAGTGATTACAGTGATATCGATACATGCGCGAGTACTGATGAATCAAGAATACTGGAGGACATCAAGGATACATCTTCACGAAGGAATTATCAACAAAGAAGACAACATATTCTGCGCGTCTTCTTCCTTGCCGATTTAATTTATCAACCTTTGTAATATCTAACTCTAGGCAATTAAAACTTTCTAAGAATTTTATTGTTTAAAACATAGATATTTTTGGTTAAACATTAATCGTTATCTTGAACATCTTTCGAAAAGTCGAATCTCATCATCAATATGCAGCGTTCAGACTTGTATTTTTAAACCGTTGGAGATTGATTATTATTCTTGACACTTTGAATTCGGCAATTTTATCAATACTTTACAATGTTGCTGATTGGGACGATTAACTGCCAACCCGGATTCAATGCGTTGATCGCGTTTATATAATTAATCAATCCCAGCGGCTTACGATGAAATTTCTCCATGTGACATTATCGCACGATATTATTTTGTTAAATTTTATCGATTATCACTGCGCTCGTCATTTTATCGCATTTTTTCATTTTTATGACTGTGAACACATTCCTTTTTCTGCCGAGCGTATTTATTGTAAAAGACGCGTGCACTCTTCGCGAGACTGTGTCCACGAGCGTTCTCCGAGTACACCGTTAAAATATCAGGACACATCAATTTCCGGCCGCTCACACGAGAAAGGACGTCGTAAATATATAAGCGGAAAGATATTTCAAAAACGAGGACAGGTCGACAGAAAATTTCGCGAGTCAATGACGCGCGGAACCTGTCTGATTACGCCTATCGATGAAGACTCGATGCGGCGTTCGATGTATTTTATACTTTTATATACACGAGTGTGAGAATGATGCCGTCTCTTCGAACGACAAGCGATCGCGGCTTATCGCACTGATCCGAGATATATAAATACGTTGACCGGGGGCGATTAACGCCGCCCGGTTTTGTAAGTACTAGGACGTAGCGTTATAAATAAGAGATGTATTCTTTCGCGGGTAACAGGTTTCGATCGAGATCGTCGTGCGGGTCATCGGGCTGAAATCGGCGAGACGATCATCTCGACGTTGTCTATCTCGTGATGAAAATCGAGATAATTTGGTTCGAGCTGCGTCTAGGGGATGTCCCCATCTTTCAGACATTCTTTAGACTAATCTTTTGGATTGTTGTCCGGAAAATTGACGGCGCATTGAGTGTTCATGCAGCTGTAAATAATCAAGCGAGTCTCCTGAGGTACTTAAAAAGCCCGTGATGATCTGTAATTATATTTGCGTCACGCTTTGCGAGTCACGAGTTAGACATAAAAAACTCTCAGACGAGCCGAAAAAAGAAAACAATTTCGACGACAACGAATTTCGCTGTTTCAGCCCGCGATACTTCGGACTAACGATAGACACTAAATATATTCACATTTTTTTTTTTACAGTCGTGCGAATTCTACGCGTCACTCCGTTTTATAGTTGTACGCGACGTGTAGAAATTACGTGTGCGGCGCCTTTTGTTGAATTTTTTATCCTCCCTTTCTCTTTCCTTTCATTTATATATATATATATGTATTCTTTTTATTTTTGTATCGTCGATCGAACGCGCCGGCAAAGTTTCGTTTTCCTTCGCTCGCACGACAGAACGTAAAAAATATAACAAAACGGAGCACAAATGCATTTTGCTGATGACTGTATTAAAATGATCGATTACGACATTGTATTGCGTGTCAGTATATGTTCCACTTTGTCGTAGATTTTTACGAACACCGTAGCATGATAGATTGTACAATGTCTATGTCGATCGTGCGGTTTCACTCTTGGAATGGAAGAAATGCCCATTCAGAATAAGAGCTATGCTGCTCCTCTTCGTCAAATCTCGCCGGCTGCGTTCAATCCTTCTCCCCCTGTTTTGTCATATCTTCTGCGCGAGTCCTGCGAGGGATGATAAACGGCGGTGACTTTTGGCCGCGTTCGTTCGCGTATCGTTTGTGATCTCATTTGCTCGTAATGCAATCTCGGAGACATCGTGGTCGGACGATCGCCCGTCTCGACCGTTGCGATTGCGCGTCCGCTATTGCGGATCGACGTTTCAACACTGTCGGCTCTGTGTGGCCATTAGTCTCGTGTACCACGACGTAGGTGCAATTAGGAGGGAAGAGAATACACAAATACCTTAAGTATATTCCACCAAAAGCGATGTCGTGCTGCACGTATAACGCGATCGTAACGAGTCTTGTTGGACGTAATCTTCTTCGCTGATTACTTCGCTAATGAAATTGAACGGTGGTATTTATCAAGCGTGAGGTCGGTCGAGCCATTACTGCTCGTGGCAGTAATATTTTATTTTTTTTCCTTTTTACTTTTCGTCCGCCGATTTTCATCGCTGATGTATCTTTTGTGAGAGAATTCGCTTTACTGACACTAATATGTTATCCAATATTGAAATACTTCATTTTATATATATATATGAAAAAAATATCTAGTCTCTTCCTCTTTTTTTTCTTTATCCCTCCTGTTCGGGATAAAGATTTTTGATTCAGTTTTTTACAACTGCTACTTACTAATTATATAGACTTTATCTTTCCTTCCTGATTCTGATTTTATTTTGATCTAATGTTTCAATTTATTAATGCCTCGTATTTTTAGATATTCTTTTTTTTACTTCTGTGCATTATAATGCATTTTTATAAAAGCGCTCTTTGACGCAAGATAATTCACCGATGTATAAAAAACACACGGAAAATCTCCTACTTCCATGTCTTTCATAGAGCAAAAGTTAAGCATTAACGTTAGACGTTACGCGCGTGCTGCGTCGTTAGACGTCGATATTCAAGATAAATGGAATCTACTCGTTTTGGTACAATTACTCAAGGGACACTCGGATGCATCCACGGCTATGCCCCTCGGCTTTGGATGCCGCATAAATTCTAGCCGCGATATACGATAGAGGTGGGCTGCGGAAAGGCGAACGCAGGGCGGGACAGGGCAAAAGGGAAAAAGAACGGAGAAAATGTAGTCGACATATTTTTGCACAACGAAAAATCGTAGAGGGTACATGTACATTAAACACGCGTATATAGGGTTAATAAATTTCAGGAACGCCAACAAGACCGTGTTCGATCGATCTTCGCTACCTTACGCGCGAGAAGAACGAGAATTACCCTGCGAGGTTTTTGTACATAGCGGCAAAGGAAAGAAAGAGAGATTGTGAGCGCGATAGAGAGAGAGAGAGAGAGAGAGAGAGAGAGAG